CTCATGCTCCTGCTTATTTTCTCAGCTACAAGCGTATTGTGTTCTGCAGTTCAGTGAGCATTAGCCAAAGTGTAAACAGACAAAGAACAATAAATAAAATATACAACTTCTGTCCCATGAGCAGCTATCACTTTTGCGAATATAACTCAATACCCATCTATTTCCCCCCTTTGGACAATTTATAAAGATAAAAGTGTCTCAGAGCCCGTTTCCCCTCCTGTATTGTTATTATCCCTATGGCAACTCTAGCACCTGAGAGCAAGAAATAATGTGATGTGCACTGTGATGAGCTTCCTTTCTCTCCTCTCCTTTTGTAACTCTATTGCTTACTTTCTTTGCCGCATACCTTGCTGTTTGCAGATCCGTTTTGCATTTACATTTGTTTCAAGACACCCTTGTTTTTAGTAAGCCAATGATTTTTATTGCCTTTTTTTTTTTAATCTGATGGTTTAGCTTACGCTAACAAAACACCCGATAACAGACCACAGAGATTAATTACAATGTGGCACACCCTTGCTTAGGGGAAAGGAAAGTATGCTTACAGTGCAGTTTCCAAAACTATGATTCCTATAACGTTTTTAAGCATTGTAGTAGAGCAAATTGCTACTGCATTTTAAGGATTTAGTTCTCTATTCAGACCTCTTACTTTAGGCATCGATCTTAGACATTGCACTGCCAAAAAATCACGGCTCTTAATCAGAGTGCTTCAGATCACAGAAGTCCTTTATATCTTTAATAAGAAGACATTAAGTGCCTCTGAAGAGCTCCAGAAGCTGAATTGAACGGTCCCCACAGACATCTACGACTCTTACCTGACTACAGAAGCCTAATCACCGGGCTCAGATGTGAACATTCATGATCAGTCCACATCCCTAGTGTTAAGTGCTTTCAAGACTTAGCTGGTACCTCAAAATCATGATCTCTGAGAAATGCATATTTAATGTCTGTTGGCATCCTAATTTTAGCGAAATTTAACATGTTAACTAGGGGTCTATTTTTTAGACTCCTATTTTTTTATAATATTTACAGAATAGGGATGCAACACAGAAGTACATATCTTCAAGAACTGTAACATACCAAGAATGTGCTGTTAGTTGCATGACACTACTATTTTTTTATCCTCTACACTACATGCTGAAAACATGTGGGTTTTTTTTGTGGTGTAGGCATTGCAAAATGCAGTTATAGAAGTCTATTTTTTTTTTTTTTACAAAAATGTTACTTTTGTAATAGAACCAAAAGCATCTAAGCCTCTCCTACAGCCTCTAAGCCTCTCTTTACGCAAGCTACCTTTTTTTTTTTTTTTTTGACCATGAGCTTATAGGCTCTGTATAGCAGATAGTATCTCTTCCTCTTTGTTTATAAAAAGTGAATCACATTTTTTTGCTGTATCATATCCTAAACAATCATAGCACAAAACTGTCAGGCATTGACAAACAAAATACTATTTTCTAAGCTCTGTTCTCAAAAAGCCTGTGCAGAACTATGTTGCGGTCACTATAAGAAAGGTCTAAGTATGGACTAAGACACTAATTCAGTTTTTCTACTGTAATTAATCTGTCCTTTCCCAGATTTAAACATTAAGTCACTAATGTAAAAGCACTGTTTATATGGAGCACTCTTGACACACTTGGAACACTTTAGTCTGAGGAATGGAACTTAGACTTCGTTGACTTTCAGGCCATGCTTCAAGATTATTTTAAGAAAAGGTGGTGATAGAAAAGGTTTGTGATTTTGATATTTGTAGTGTTTGAGGAGGCTGTTGTCTTGTCTTGTTTCTCATACAGCACTTTTTCTTTTTATTTAAACCAACAATATTAGAAATATTTTGCAGGGTCTATAAAAAATTTTTACTGCTTGTAAGTGTACAGTTGAATATTTGAATGGTGAAATAAATGCTCAGGAACTACGTAAAAAATTAAATGCAAATCTACAGCATTACAATGAGAACTCTCAGTACAATTCTATTGCTGAAGGCATTTAGAAGAGGTGTAGATGTGGTGCTCAGGGACATGGCTTAGTGGTGGCCTTGGCAGTGTTAGTCAACGGTTGGACTCGATGATCTTAAGGGTCCTTTCCAACCTAAATGATTCTATGATTCTATGCCTGTTGACATTTTATACAGGAATTGTGCTGTAAAGCCAGACAGCTGAGAAGTTGTGCTTTTACTCATCCATAGTTTTTGAACAGAGCAAGGAAACAGACACAAAAATAATTTGAACTCTCAAATATTACATTTGCAAGTTCTTGTTGAATTTTAAAAAAATGCAATAGTGTCAATCAAACCCTCCAATGTTTTACTGTTTGGTTTAAAAGAGGTCTATTCTAAAGTACAAATCTATCCCACTGCTTGCGTTTTGAATTTTTTTTATTCAGTAAAAACTTACTAAATATAACAAAATGTGACTTTTAGATCTGAATTGAAAATGTCAGTTTCAATTTTAATGGCTTGTAAATGAAAATTAGCTGGGGAAATACTGTAAAAAAACCTGTTTTTCTGTAATGGTGATTGCGGCAACAACAGAATGAATGAATCAAAATGAATAAATGGCAACAACACTAGAATGTCAATAAATTTGCTAGGGCATACTTTGAAATGTTCTTATTGAAAAACTTGTGACACCGTAGCAGTATCAGGGAAAGCATCCAAATGATGTGAGAAAATCTGACAGCAAAAGGAAAAGAATGAATCGCAGAATCAAAGAATGGTTTGGGTTGGAAGGGACCTTTAAAGGTCACCCAATCCAATCCCCCTGCCACAAGCAGGGACATCGCCCACTAGATCAGGTTGCTCAGAGTCCCATCCAACCTGTCCCTTCAACACTTCTAGGGATGCGGCATGAAGGTTATGGACAGAATAATATGAAGAAAATAGCAGAAGTTTCCAGTGAAAGTTCATAGAAATCATGTTAAGCCATTGTAAATCAAAGTCCAATAAATGTCCTAAAGATAAAGAACCCAAATTTTTTTCCTTAAACAATGACAATTCAGCATAATTACCATTACCATTAAAGAACTGAGTATATTTGGCTGGTCATAAAAATGAAATTAGGAACGGCAAGAGAAAACCTGGAAAATACTTAACAGCTAACATTTAGCCAAATAATGCAAGTAGCAAACATTTATATTTCTGGTGAATTTACAGGTATTTACAGTCACATGGCCTTGTTAGTGTAGAATTTTAGCAGGCAAGTCATTAGCAGCAGCGAATTGGTCTTGTGGAAACTACCGAGTGCTGCTTTCCTTTCAGGACCTCCTAATCCTGCCGCCTGGAGCTCTGCACCGCTCCCAGTCCTGCAGCAGCAGTAAGGAGGTCGGTCCCTGTAAGGAAACAAGTCTTTGGAGCACATTTCTGTAAAGAGGCAGGCCACCAATGCTGCCTGCATTTGGGGAAGTCAAAATGAGAAAGCATGACAGTGGCAACAAACAGGCGTGGCAACTAGCTGACTAAGCATGAAAACATCAGGGGAAAACCCAAATGATTATGGAGATGAACAGTGCTGGAGATGAACTTCTGTCTCTTCTGAGAAAAGGAAGGCTTTGGAGAAGGGAGAAATACTGAACCATGAAACACAGAAACTTGGTAGCCACAGAAGCGCTGCAAACTATTTGTTTTAATGTCACGTCGTAACAGACCTGGATAGCCTTCTGGGAGCATTCTTTTAATGTTGGTTCCACTGATATGTTCTATGAAGACATGTTCTTTGATTCTTGCTACTTGCTGGTCAAACAGTTCCTTCTGCAGTATCAACGCTGTGAGACACTGCTGTTCAAGAAATATCCCTATATATAACAAGTATATTTTGTTCTGTATCATTCTGTTGAACTCCCTAAACATATATAGAAGTGCCTACATGCTATCTAGTTTTAAAATTTTAGCTATTATCATGACACCATAATTAAGAAAATGAAGAAAAAAAATTACAGATTTTGTCCTACTTCTTACAGGAAAAAAAGGCAGACTCCCAAAGCAATCTACTAACCAGTAGTATTTTGCCAAGAATAACACAGAAAGTACACACCACACTGCATAAGGTTTATTTGAAACCACTGCTTGCCCTGTATGATTTCTGATGTTAGCTTTCAGAACACTGAAATAATTTTAAAAAGTTATGTTTTTCTCCCCAAGAAGCTGTCCTTTTCAGTCTGAAAAGGTTTTGAAAGTAAAATAACAAAAGCAACTGTTTTGTGATCAGAGTTTTTGAAAAAAGATGTCTTTTCTGAAAAGCGTGTTATACTTACCCAGGATAAACAAGCATGTAACAGCACATATTTCTCTAGGAATCAAAAATACACTGATTCTACTCAAAGTCATGAGGACTACTCCTACGCTAGTTTATTCTTTGTATCTTTCAACACACGTTTCTTTTCTGAGACTGCTATATATGCAAACGTTAAGGGCTGGTTGGTTTTTTTTTTTTTTCTAATTAGCAATTGCCTTATTGAGCTGAATGGGTTCTGCCACAAAGACAGCATTTTACACAAAATGCCAAGTGGCAATTAGCTGGTGACAGCTTCTTGGTCAGAACTAACTTGGGCTGGACTATAACTTGCTATATGCAGGTTGATCAGCCAGCCCCTACAAACCAGGTCCATTTGAAATGTCCTCTCATTCATCCTGACAAAGTAATTAAATGAAAATATTAGAAGCAACGAATGCCCCATTTTCCAAACATTTTGTAGCAAAAACATTGTGCTTTCTCTGGTGTAGAGGATACCTTGAGGTCCTGGAGTGTAATTTAAAATGCTTTACAATGCCTTTGTTTCCTTCCTACTTGAAATTGATGTTGCATCAGGAGAGTAATTGCGCTGGAGCTTAATCCTGAAAAACTACAGTGAACATCTGAAGGGGATGGTGGGAAACAGACTATATTATTGTCACTGCAAATAAGTAAAGCCTGTCTTGCTCTCTGCTCTCCAAAACAGTGACCTGCCCACGCTGCTTGTTGCCTGGGCCCAGCCCAGAGCTGCACCTCTCGGGATGGAGAAGCACCATCGGGATGGAGAAGCACCATCTCGGGGTGGAGGACGGGGCACCTGCACAGGAGATGAGGTGAGAGGGATGAGAAGGCAGGGAGAAAGCCAGGCGGCGGGGGGGAGGGCGGGCAGCGCTGACCCGAGGCACGGGGAGACGGAGGCGAGAGAAGGGGGAGCGGGATGCGGGCACGGCGAGCGATGGGAGGGGACGGGCCGGGACAGGCGGAGCGGAGGAGGAGCCGCTGGAAAAGCTGCTGGGGGGGCCGCGGTGCCCGGGACCGGCTGGGCGGGGGGGGCGGG